CAGACCCACCATAGACAGGGGCAGCTCTGGTTGTCTGGAGCAGCCCCTGTCTGCAATGGGTGCAGGTATCCTGCAGGAAGGAGCTGTTCGGGCCAGCCGCTGTGGGCAGGGCGCAGAGGGAGAGGCTGTCCTGCCTGCATCCCCTTTAACCAGTTAACCAATTAAAGGGGATTTTACATCCCTAGCAGGGATGTAACTAGATAATATCTAATACTTCACATCTTCAAAATACTTCAACTATTTTTATACCCTTCATGTGAGGTAGGATAGCCCAATATTGAAAAGGAGGTTATGGGAAACAGCTTTTCCAAGATCACAGCAGCTGCTGTCCTGCCTGCATCCCCTTTAACCAGTTAACCAATTAAAGGGGATTTTACATCCCTAGCAGGGATGTAACTAGATAATATCTAATACTTCACATCTTCAAAATACTTCAACTATTTTTATACCCTTCATGTGAGGTAGGATAGCCCAATATTGAAAAGGAGGTTATGGGAAACAGCTTTTCCAAGATCACAGCAGCTAAGAGGAGAACCCGGGAGACCACACTCAGCCCATGCAGCCTCTAGTCTAGAGCACAGAATTTAACTGGCAGGGCAGAAGGAGGGTGGGCAGAGAATCCTAGAGCTCTGAGCTGCACAGAAAGCAGTGGCTCAGAAGGTCAGTATGTTCCCTTAACTGGAATCTAGCAGACATGCCTGGGCTTTCGCTTGGCACGGGCCTTATACCCAGAGACAGAAAAAATACAGAAGTTAGTCCATTTTCGTGACATTCTCAATAGACATTAATATTTAGCTACTAAAACTGTACAGGAAAGGACTGGTGGCTCTGAAGGAATCAACAAATTATGCTTAACATTGTCACTGAAGTTGGCAAAGTAGTCAATTTGATCTCAGTTCCTGTCCTGCACAACTTCTACTCCTATCAGCAATATAATGACCACCATGTATTAGTTATAAAGGGATCATCAGACAACACAAGCTGATAATCCTTGAGTTATGGGTTTCTCTGTAACCGAACAATCACAAGCAAAGATCTAACCATACCAATTTGGTCTCAAGAGGGTCTATATTACATTTATAAGAGCTGGAATACACGGATATGACTGAGTTTTACATACAAAAAAATTGAAAAGTTAAAAATTACATTTCCTACGGGAAGTATTAATTGGGCCCCTTGCACGTATGTGATATTTTGTTTATGTTGTTAACGTAACACTTTATTTTCCTCCACTCCATTGGTTTTCTGATTTAACACACATTTTTTAGGTACTCTAAGTCACTCCCTAGTAAGGATGTGACTGTGAAGCCAAGAACATGGTTAACCGATGAGCCTGGGCTCCATCAGTTAATCCTCTTGGTTACACACAGCCTTTCCCCTCCACCTCCTGCCTCTTCTGTATCAGAGGCAGCGGGAGGTGGGGGGGACAGGAGGCGGCGCGTGTGGGGAGCCCATTTAAAAAGCCAGGTCCCATGGGGGAGGGTGGACAGGTGGGTGCCAGTACACACCAGCTTCCGCCAAGCCCAGAGGTGGGAGCTGATACACGCAGGGAGCTGGCTTCTGAGGAGCCGCCTACCCCTCCCCACACTGCTGACTCAATCAGAGGCAGCAGCACAGGGAAGAGGAGGCAGGCAGGAGCTAGTACATGCAGGGACCCGTCTTTGAAACCAGCTCCCCACATTTACCAGTTCCTGCTTAGCTGACTGCCTCCCCTCCTGTATCAGGGGGGATACAGAGGCAGCGGGGGCAGGAAATTGGAAATCTGCCCCCCCCCATAAACATGTATTCCCCGAAAATTTCAGCAGATACATGTTTGCACAAAAAAACAACCCACATTTTAACACTCCTAGTTAGTCGTAGACAATGTATAATTTATCTGAGGCACAGCAGTGATTTCAGCAGATTTATACCTCCTCCAAGAAGAGAGGTTGAGGACTGGAAGTAAGGATATTAAATTGCATTTAATCAGCTAATCAAGTAGTTAATTGAATTTCGTCAATGGGGGGGAAATTACAGAGCCCCAATAGGGTTAGCTCCTGACCCTGGGAGCTAACCCTGCTGCAGCTATGTCTTTTAAATGTAGTAAGAGCTCGCACCTGGTCCTCCCCAGCACCTCTGCTTCTCCTGTCCCCCTGTGGAGACAGCACTGCGGGGGTACTGGCTTTTAAGCCAGCTCCCCCCAGCACCGGCTCTTATAGAGGCAGCAAGTGGGGGGGTGGGGGAGAGAGAAACAGCTAGTCAAGTAGTCGACTACTTGCTTACATTTTTAGTTGGAAGCTAATCACATTAGTCTGCTGAATTCTGTTCTCTATACCCATAACATACCTCATTTTTTCATGACTATCTGCAACGTGTGTCACGTCTACGTTTTCTATACTATTCAGCTTCCTCTAACTCCAAAGGAGTGGAGGATCAGCACTATGGAGAGGACATTTAATTAGTGGTACATTTTTATTTTGCCAAATTGAGTGGAACTCTGAGTAACAGTCTTCAATGAGTGATGTTCCCATACCACAATATCGATGCTATACAGATGAGCACTAAAGAAATACCAATAAAACAAATTAAATCAGTCAAGTTGCCACGGACAAAAATGCACCTTTTCTGCCAGATGAAGTCACCAAATCCAAGTAATTAGGTTACACCACTGAGAAATCCTCTATATAACAGATTCTAGAGCAGTGTCTTCTAATGGCACATGAAACCCCGTAGGTACAGAACAGTTCTCAGTCTTCCCCCAAGGGAAACATTCAAAAATGAAGGAAAGGAGACAATTGAGTTTCTAAGGAAAATATCTGGAAAGGCTGATGTATTTGGTAAGCATGTCTTAGGTCTGTGCAGCGAATGTCGAGTTTTCGCTGTGGGCTCTCCAAACAAAGATTCCTCAATACTATATTTCATAACCAGTGCTGAGTTCTACTTCTGCCAAATCCAAAGCAAATTTTTAATTTATATTTATATTATACACTTTCTCTCATTTGCTTTGAGCCTCTGAGAAACACTTAGTCGCAGATTAAGGCCAGAAGTGACCAATATGATAATCTGATCCCCTACAACACAGGCCTTAAAAACACACCCAGTAATTCTTGCATAGAGCCTGGTTCTATGCAAAGATATTCTAGTCTTGGGGAAACTAGAGCCACCCGAGGGTAGTCTTTAGTTTTCACCCATAAAAAGGCCTCAGCAATCTAAAGTTTCTGCCAGCAAATCGCAGAGATCACTCAGGACACACAGACATTACTAGTTAGGAAAGACTTCAGTCCTACCTCGAGGAGTCATGCTCATCCCGTGGAGAAAGACAAGCTCCTGCACAGGTGCAGTGGAAGGTTTGGGCAGTAAAATAAGGGCCTTATGTAATAACTAAAGAGTTGTCCCCCACTATGGGGAGAATAAAAAGCTTTTAGGAACGGTGATATTTCTGCCTTTGGAGACATTTGGCTCTGCAACTTCCCTAATTTGCATTCACAACTGCTGCAGTAGCAGCATATACAAATCAAGCACACCATAATATGTCTGAGTGATCTGACAGTGGCCCTTTAACATAATGGTAGAGATTTCAGGGATAACCTGCTGCTAAAATAGATGCAGAAATTCACACCTCAAAGCCATTTCAACTTAAAGACAGCCTGACATCAGTTCATTGGTACTAGATTTTCTACACAATCTCAAGGACCTCCAACTTTTGTTCTTAAGACTTGTGTTTTGAAGATTCTGAACCCGTCACGAACACAAACACATCAAGCAGACAGTATGGGGCCAGGAGCATGACATCCCATGTGTGTTCATTTTTTTAATTGTATCCTTTGGTATATATGGCTGTGACAATTTTCACATTTTTTAGGTACTCTAAGTCACTCCCTAGTAAGGATGTGACTGTGAAGCCAAGAACATGGTTAACCGATGAGCCTGGGCTCCATCAGTTAATCCTCTTGGTTACACACAGCCTTTCCCCTCCACCTCCTGCCTCTTCTGTATCAGAGGCAGCGGGGGGGGGGGGGG